CCTATAGCAAACGTGGATTTTTAAAAAAATTTTTTTCAGGTCCTATAGCAAACGTGGATTTTTTAAAAATTATTTTTCAGGTCCTAAAGCAAACGTGGATTTTTTAAAAATTATTTTTGAGGACCTACAACAAACGTGGATTTTTTAAAAATTATTTTTGAGGACCTACAACAAACGTGGATTTTTTAAAAATTATTTTTGAGGACCTACAACAAACGTGGATTTTTTAAAAATTATTTTTGAGGACCTACAACAAACGTGGATTTTTTAAAAATAATTTTTGGAGGGCCAATGGCAAACGAGGATTTTTTAAAATAATTTTTGGAGGGTCAGTGGCAAACGAGGATTTTTTAAAAATTATTTTTCAGGGCCTATAGCAAACGTGGATTTTTTAAAAATTATTTTTCAGGGCCAATGGCAAACGAGGATTTTTTAAAATAATTTTTTGAGGGAATGTAGCAAACATGGATTTTTTAAAAATTATTTTTGATGGCCTATAGCAGACCTGGATGTTTTAAAAACAAGTTTTTGGAGGGACTATAGCAGACCTGGACTTTTGAAAAATTATTTTTGAGGGCCTATAGCAGACCTGGATTATATTCAAATAGCGGAAGAAATCAATTAATTTAACTAATTTTTCGAAAGATATACGCTTGCAACTTTGAAAAATCCATAATTAAAGCTGAGCAGACTAGTCCTTGAAAAAAACATTCCGCTACCCAAAATGCAAATGCAATCTTTCAAAAACGCACCAAATTACCTTGCACTTCAAGGAAACAACAATTTTTCATTCGCCATCAATTTGATATTAATTAGGAAAAAAAATAAAACATTGAAATTCAAAATCTCATAAACCTTTAATCGTTTCGAACAGGTTTAATGCAAATTGACGCATATCGAGATTTTAGCCGGTTTTTGCAAATCGTTGGATGACATTCAGAATCTTGGTTTTATTTTTTTTTACTTACTCATGGTGATGCAGTTATTAGTTGTTGTTCTTGTAGATTTTGATGTTGTGGATGTGGCTGTTGTTTTGTGTCTGTGTGTGATGATATTGTTGTTTTTTTTTTATAATTTCTAAATTAGTTGTATATTTTTGTAAGATGTTTGATATCAATTGTCGTTAATTTTTTTTGTTCTGTGTGGTGTTTTTGTTATTATTTGTTATTGTTTTAAATTATTTATTATTTTAAATTAAAAATAATTAAAAATTTTTTGTAAAGATAAATTTTTGCACAAAACTATAGGACTAAAAAATCGTTATAAAAAAATAAAAATTGGGAATACGTAAAAAAATTTTATTTTTTAAAAATAAAAATATTTGAAAAATAATCCAACATATGTATTACTTAAAAAACTTCAAATGTTGGATTTTTTTCATTTAATATTTCAAATATTAAAAAAAAAAATAAAAAATTGTGTGATTTGAAAAAAAATCACCTTACAATACATATTATAAAAAAATATAGAAAAGACGAAAATTTTTAATTGAAAAAGGCTGTGGAAAATGGTTGATTTTGAAAAAATTGTATTCAAAAAAAAAAGAACTCTGTCGATTTCTTTAAACCCAAAAATTTAATTTTAAAAATAAATGAAAAAAAAAAACGTTAAAAATTTAAAAATATATATAATATTACTGGTTTAGGAATTAAAAATGGATTTTTTAAATCAAATAAAAAATTGTGGATTTTAAAATAATTAAAAAAAAACTGTCAAATAAATCAAAAATCGTGAAACATAAAAAGTAAATTTTTTTTTGAAACATAAAAGAATTTTTTAAAATTAAAACTTTCAGAATCGACAATAAAAAAAATCATGATTAAAAAAACATATAAGAATTTTTAACCATCGATTTTTAAATATATTGAATAATTTGAATAAAAAAATTTGAATAAAAAGTACATAGCTTTTAATTAAAAAAACGGTTTTTTAATAAAAAAAAAATATTTTTAGTTAAAAAATCCCCAATTTTTTAAATTAAAAAAGTTTATATTAAAAAAGTAAGATTTTTTTCTAAATATTAAAAGAACTACAATATTTATATTTTTAAAAAGATTTAATTCTTTTAGTTTAATTTTTTTAGATCCACGATATTTAAAATCCAAAAAAAAAAACAATGAAACGATTTCTTTAAAAATTGAGATTTAAATAAATGAAGATTTTTAAAAAATTTCAAAATTGTAGTTCATTTAATTTATTAAATAATCGTAGGTTTTCTAAATTGTTCCACGAATTTTTTAATAAAAAATTAACGATTTCCATTTTCTTAAAAGTATATTATTTTAAATGAAAAAAACTATTGAATTAAAAAAAAAAATTAAAAATATATTTCATTTAATTTTTGGAGCCTCACGTAATTTATATTTCTGAGAAATCCATGTATTTATAAATTTTTAAAGAAAATTACGAAAAAAACAAATGAAAAGAATTCTTTAAAAATTGAGATATTTAAAAAATTAATATATAAAGTTTTCTTATGTTTTTTTTAAATATATAAAAATACGACTTTTAATACTTAAAAACAAAAAATTAAGATTTTTTTTAATTCAAAAATCTAAATTTTTTAAAATAAAAAAAAATATATTTTTTTTAATTAATTCAACGGATTTTTTAAATTAAAAAAAATCCACGACCAAAAAATTGACATTTTTGAATAGACAATTTTGATTTTTAATTTAAAAACCATTGATGTAATTTAAAAATATCGATTTTTATTTTTAAACATTTAAAATTTTTAAATTTAAAAAATCCTTAATTTTTTGTTTTTAATTGTAAAAAGTCGTATTTTTTGTATATAAAAACCTACGAATTTTTAAGATATTAAATTAACTACAATTTTTAATTTAATTTTCTGGAAAATCCACAATTTATTAATTAAAAAAAAAAAAAACAAAAATATAGCGAAACAAGATTTTAAACTTTATTTGTTTTTTAATTTTTTAGTTAAATTTAAATTTAGATTTTTAAAATAAAAAAAAAATAATTTTTTGGTTTTCAACTATAAAATATCGTATTTTTTATATTTAAACCTACGAATTTTAAATCTTAATTTTTAAAAAAAATTTAATTTTTTTCTTAATTTCCTGGGAAATCCACAATTTTTTAGTTAAAAAACAAAATTATAGCGAAACAAGATTTTAAACTTTAATTTTTTTTAAATTAATTTTAATTTATATTTTTAAAATAAAAAAAATTTTTGGTTTTCAACTATAAAAAGTATTATTTATAGTTTAACCTATGAATTTTAAATCTTAATTAAAAAAAAAATATTTCATTATTTTTGGATATAACGTTTCTGGGAAATCCACAATTTCTAAATTTAAAAACAAAATTAAGATTTTTTATTTTTTTAAATTCTTTCACAATTTTTTTATTTAAAAAAATACAAATTTTTATTTTTTAATAGACGATTTTTTTAATTTTTGATTTTTTTATTGAAAAAAAGTGATTTAATTTAAATTAAAGTAATTTTTTCTTTTAAAAAATCTTGATTTTTAATTTAAAAATAAAAATCCCTAATTTTTTGTGCTTAACTGTAAATAGTAAAAAACCTACGAATTTTTAAATTATTAAATAAACTACAATTTTTTAATTTTATTTTAAACATTTCAATTTAAAAAAATCGTTTCATTTAATTTATTATTATTAATTTTTCAAAATTTTCAAATCGACTATAAAAAATTAAAAATCTAGATTTTTAATTTAAAAATAAAAATCCCTAATTTTTTGAGTTTAACTGTAAATAGTAAAAAACCTATGAATTTTTAATTTATTAAATGAACTACAATTTTTTAATTTTTTTTTTTAAATATTTCAATTAAAAAAAAATAGTTTCATTTAATTTATTATTATTAATTTTTCAACATTTTCAAATCGACGATAAAAAATTATGTGACACAAAAAAAAATAAATAAAAAACAAATAACAATTTTTAACCGTTGATTTTTAATTAAAACAAAAGATTTTTAGTTTAAAAATATCCTTAATTTTTTAATGTAAAAAGTCGCATTTTTTATAATTGAAAAAAATACGAATTTTTAATAGATTAAATAAACTACAATTTTAAAATTATGTAGATCCATGATATTTTATTTTCTTATAATTCTATGAAATTAAAAAAATATATATCACAAAAAATCCATTTTTAATTTGTAAACTTCAAGATTTTAATATTGTTTTTTTTTATGTCGAGTCCTCGATTTTTTTATTTTAAACTAATTCCTCGATTTTTTAGAAAAAATTAAATTTTTTGATTTAATCGTCGATCTTCAATTTTCGATTTTTTAATTTAAAAAATCCATATATATATACTTTTTTTATTTTTCTATATTTTTATTTTATTACTTTATTTTAAATCCTCCAATTTTATATTTATTAACAAATCTAGGTTAAAAGAAAAAACCAATTTTAAATAACCCTTTTTTTATCCATCCTAAAATTTGTGGTTTTCTATTTAAAAAAATCTATTCTATTTTCGCATTATTTGAATATCCTGCGTTAATATTTTTAATTTTTTTATTTTTAAAAATCCAACGAATTTTTAAGAGTATTCTTAATCCGGGTTTTAATATCCTAAATTATCTACGATTTTGTTATGCAATGAAAATCATCCATAATATTTCTTTTCAATTTAATTCATGTTCCAATTTTGTTATTTTTGCACTGCGGTTTTCCAAAATATTCAATTTTATGATAAATTAATTATTTTTCAAAAATAATTTTCCATTCTTTTTTTTTTTTTTTTTGAAATAAAAAAATCACAATTTTGAGGTTTTTAAAATCGCTCGAAAAAAATTCCACAATTAAATGGAAATGCATTCTGAACACGTTTCCCTTAACTTTTGTATCTACAAACTTTTCGATTGTAACGGAATCACAATGAAGTCGTATCCACGAAGTTCAAGAAAAAAGATTCACTCGATTCAATTTCGTTTTTTTTTTTTTTGGTTTGTGTGAAGGTTTTCGTTTTTTTTTTCAATTTTTTTTCAAACTTTACACACCACAAAGAAAACACGTCGGAAGTTGTAGGTTGGGGGGTTGGATTGCTTTGTTGTTGGATTTCGTGGGAAATACCGACAGTTGAAGACGAAGAAGAAGCCGCTAAATAAAGACAAGACAAGACAAGACAATGCGACGAAAAACGAGTTTAAAGTTTGTAGCTAAGTGACAGAAGACCGAAAAAACAAAACTAGATTTGACCACGTTTGACGACAGCGACGATAGGTTGGATGGTTGCTTACGACGACAACGGTTGACGTGCGTTCCGTATCAAAGTTAAGATGAAACTGGCCGAGTAGATGGTCTACTCCCAAGATTATATTGAATGGAAACGTAAATTGAACTTGGCTTAAAAGTTGTTGTTATTGTTGTGGCAGTCTAGAGTTGGCTGGCTGACAAGGTGAGAATAGGTTTGGAGTAACACGAACAGTAACAACAATAAAAGGTATTCATTCAATTCTACAGCGACGACCTGTGTGACCCAACAATTATGACTTTGCTTGTAGCCCCCAACTCAGGTGAGCAACAAATCTGGGGAGGGGGGCCATATGCCTTCTGACTGACTGACGATCATAGGCTATGACGTTAATAAAATGAACGAAAAGATCACAATAGGCTAACCTCAAAGAGAGTGGGAGTGAGAGGCAGAGCATGCTGAGAGGGGTTTTGTTGTAATAACCATAACTCCCCAATGGAAAAAAGTACATTACAGTGAAACCCACACAAAATCAATAAAAAAAAATTAAATAAAAAATAAAAAAAAAATATTTAAATAAAAAAAAAATAAAAAAAAAATTAAAATTTAAAAAAAAAATTAAAAAAATGGAGATGATTTTGAAAAATACAATTAATTTTTTTTTAAATATTTTTATTAAAATGTGGGTGAAACCCACACGAAATCAATAAAAAAGAAAATTAAATAAAAAATTAAAATTTATTAAAAAATTAAAAAAAAAAATAAAATTTAAAAAAAAATTTTAATGATGATTTTTTCCGTGGTCCTGATTTTCAAAAACACAATTAATTTTTTTTTTCAAAATATTTTTATAAAAAATGTGGGTTTTACTGTTGCAATTTTTTTATAACTCCCCAATGGATAAAAAAGTGCATTACAGTGAAAACCACACGAAATCAATAAAAAAAAAAATTAATAAAAAAAATAAAAAAATGGGAAATGATTTTTTCAGTGGCCCTGATTTTGAAAAATACAATTCAAAATATTTTTATTAAAAATGTGGGTGAAACCCACACAAAATCAATAAAAAAGAAAATTAAAATTTATTAAAAAAAATTAAAAAAAAAATAGAATTTAATAAAAAATTAAAATTAAAATTAAAAAAAAAAATAAAAAATTGGAGATGATTTTTTCAGTGGCCCTGGTTTTGAAAAATACAATTAATTTTTTTTCAAAATATTTTTATAAAAAATGTGGGTTTTACTGTTGCAATTTTTTTATAACTCCCCAATGGATATAAAAGTGCATTACAGTGAAACCCACACGAAATTAATAAAAAAGAAAATTAAATAAAAAATTAAAATTTATTAAAAGATTAAAAAAAAAATAAAAATTAAAAAAATTTAAAAAATTGGAGATGATTTTTTCAGTCGCCCTGATTTTGAAAACTACAATTATTTTTTTTCTCAAAATATTTTTATAAAAAATGTGGGTTTTACTGTTGGAATTTTTTTTATAACTCCCCAATGGATAAAAAAAAGTGCATTACAGTGAAACCCACACGAAATCAATAAAAATTTAAATAAAAAAAATAATAAAAAATGGGAAATGATTTTTTCAGTGGCCCTGATTTTGAAAAATACAATTATTTTTTTTTTCAAAATATTTTTATTAAAAATGTGGGTGAAACCCACACGAAATCAATAAAAAAGAAAATTAAATAAAAAATTAAAATTTATTAAAAAATTAAAAAAAAAAATAAAATTTAAAAAAAAAAAATTAAAAATTGGAGATGATTTTTTCAGTGGCCCTGATTTTGAAAAATACAATTACTTTTTTTTCAAAATATTTTTATAAAAAATGTGGGTTTTTCTGCTGCAATTTTTTTATAACTCCCCAATGGATATAAAAGTGCATTACAGTGAAACCCACACGAAATCAATAAAAATATAAATAAAAAAATAATTAAAAATGGGAAATGATTTTTTCAGTGGCCCTGATTTTGAAAAATACAATTCAAAATATTTTTTTCAAAAGATTTTTATCAAAAATGTGGGTGAAACCCACACGAAATTAATAAAAAAGAAAATTAAATAAAAATTAAAATTTATTAAAAAATTAAAAAAAAAAATTAATATAAAAAAA